AACTGAATGACGGTTCATATAGAAATCGAGGTATGCGTCTCATACAACAATGCCCCCTATAGTTCGTTGCGATCGCGAATATAGTTTCAAAGCGTTGACATTCGTAAAGGATAAAAAAAATTAATTGGATCTCGGTTTTACTCAGATAGACCTAACTGAAGTTGATCTAGCTTTTATGACCATAGCCTAGATATCTGTATGGAACCATAACCAAACGTATGGGTTTTAAATCATGAGACTCGCGTAAGTATGAATATACGAAGCAAGAATTCAAAAATCATCTAACTTAAAATCTAATTATTTATACTTAAACTTTTATTATAGCTAATTAAAAATAAACTAACATAAAATTGAATTATTTGGGCAGGATGTAAACATGCCATGTCGAAAATAAGGCTCGAAAAATATTGCTTTGAACCGAACGAAAGTTAGAATCAGTTGAGGACAGAAGGATTTACAATCACAGAAGTTTGTATGTTGACCTAATATTGCATGAAATTTAAAGCGCCAAAAATTGAGACCAAACGTCATTTTGTCAAAGTGCTTTTAATTTTTTGATTGTCTCTACGTTTTTTACTAATCTTACCATCTATATTTAGATTTTGAATAATCTCCTTCAAAAGTACTTAATTTCTCACATAATAATCTAAAAATTGCCGCGTAATTATAAATTTATAACTTGTTTTTTCAGCTAAGTATTTAGAAAATAATAATCAAATAAAAATAAGCCCAAGTTGCGCCAAAATTTAAATTAGATTTTTTTCCCTAAGTGCAACTACGGGTATAATATTACTTTCGCTACAACGAATATCATATTACTTCATTTCGTTTCATTCGTTACTTTCGTTTATATTACCACGTTTTGATGCTGGTTCTAAAAACTTGCAACTTTGAATTATTATGCAGAATGTTCCGCAAACAACGCCTTTAATAAATAGTTTTAAAATCTTAGTGAAAACAAGATGAAAAAAATGTATACACAATAAGAACCGAAAATATAATTTTATACCGGGAAAAAAAATCCCAATCGCAATTAGCTGAATCGCAAATAAAGGTACTATGAAAAGCAACAAAATCAATTTGATTGCTGAAAGTAACCTGAACCTTTCTCTAAACATTTCATGTTTCAGCCATTAATAGGATTCTTTAGTACAATCTTCCTCAATTATAATTTGTTAGAATTTGGTAGTGTACTTTTTTTTTGGTTTATATATTAAATTGAGATCCATTTCATTTTTGATAAGGAATCCAAAAATATATAATAAGGGTGGTTATTGTGAAACACCTTAAGTATATAGAGATATAATGCTTTGGACCTATCATATGATTTTTTTTTTTTTTACTTTCGACTATAACATATTTGTGATTCTATTTAAATTCAAATATTAAAATATTTTGCGTAAGTCTTCTTATTTTAGTCAAATATATGACAGTAGTTTATTACTTGTGTGAAATTTCAAAGTTGTTTCAACGTAGCTATAACTGAAATCACCCGTATAAGACTTAATTTTGATTTAAACACACATTTTACAACTAGCAGTGCTCTTTATTTGTCATGCAGTTGAAACTATTACGGAAAATAATGACAGAAAGAGTATAAGACCACAGTTAAAAAGTAGGTTTTCTATTCCAGGAAAAAGGAATTTTTAATGAGATTTGGTCCATTGTCATANTTTTTAAATAAAAATAAACCAAAGTTAAGCCAAAATTTCAATGAGATTAGTGCAACTACTGGTATAATATTACTGTCGTTACAACGAATATCATATTACTTCCTTTCGTTTCATAAGTCATCGTAAGTCATCTTATTTTAGTCAAATATATGACAGTAGTTTATTACTTGTGTGAAATTTCAAAGCAGTTTCAACGTAGCTATAACTGAAATCACCCGTATAAGACTTAATTTTGATTTAAACACACATTTTACATTTTCTCTTTATTTGTCATGAAGTTGAAACTATTACGGAAAATAATGACAGAAAGAGAATAAAATCACAGTTAAAAAGTAGGTTCTCTATTCCAAGAAAAAGGAATTTTTTAATGAGATTTGGTCCATTGTCATACTTACAACTAAAGGAAAAAATATTATGACAAAAAGAAAGGGGCTTCTTATGAATGTGCTGAAAAGTCTCAAGATCTTAAACTTATACAGAATATGTGTATAGCTGCAAGCAAAAATAGGAAGAAAAAAACGAATTGCAGTACAAAAATATATCATTTTTCATCAATTCGAGTAGAAACAGACGAATCGGACGAAATCGGAAAAAATTGTAAGAGCAATGCCAAAACGAGTGAAATGGTCGAGTCGAAGATCGAATCGAATGGTCGAAACGATGAAGTCGAAAGAAGGGCACATATATTATTAATTAAAAAAAAACATCCCTAATAAGCTTTCGTTTTTTGGAAACACGTATTTGATTAAATTTATACTCTTGCTACTGCAACTTCTATTCCTTACATACCTACATTAGCTACTATTCCTTACATACCTACATTACTTCTATTCCTACATTAGCTAAATCTGAATGTTATAGCCACAACAGCTTTAACATTCAGATTTAGCTAATGCTTCTAATGCAAGAACGACAGCCTAGAAGATGACGAAGTTTGATTGCTTGGTTTAGGGAGCCAATTTAAGGCTGAAATCATCCTTTTAATTATGCTTTTAACTTCATTTATTGCTATAAAAATGATGCCCAGGTGTATTAAAGACCAACTAGAAAGAAGTGCGAAATGCGAAGAAAAAGTGAAAGACAAAGTTGTCGAATATGAAGGACAACTCGATGAATGGCGAAGTCTTAAGAGTGAAACGTGAAAACATGTTGAAAAACAATAAACTTTGAAAACATTATTAGTGCCATCGTGTTCAGGAACTTAATCAAACTCCATAAAAGCTCTACACAATGTCAAAAATTGAAAAATATTGCGATGTCTTGGCAAATGGAGATTATTTTGGAACACTGCTATAATATCTACTATTCTGTCAGCAGCTATATCTGGCAAACTTTGTAAAAAATATTAGGAAAACGTATTGCAAATAAAATCTCTGATATACTAAGCAGAACGCAAAAAAATCGCTTTTTTTCCAAATGATTTTGTTTTCAATTTACCGGTCATTTTTTTTTGGGGGGGGGGAGCACCTAGCGAATGGCAGTCTTTTAAACATTTAATGTATTGAAAATAATAGAAAAAATCAAACCTGATCTTAATATATAGAAAAAAAATCAAACCTGGTCTTAAAGTTCGAATTTTTGCTTTCAGCTGCAAATCGAAAAATCATGTTGTCACCGAGGAACCGAAGTAAGAGAAGCTTTATGCCAATTAAAGTGCCTACTATATCAGGAAGCCTAGCAGGTAGCATAGCAAGTACAAGCGCAGCTGTACCGATTACGGACATGAGTCAACTTGTCCGAACTTCCAGGCCTAGCACAATGAAGTCATCTACAGTTTTAACAGAAAATCTTTTGAGAGCTAATGAAGCGCAAATCACACCATTGCGCAATAGGTTTGCTTTTGGCAGAAGGGATAAGTTCTATTTTTTAACCATACCGGGCCTTCTACGACTTGTAGAATGTGTAAGCTTATAACTCAATTACTTGTGATTTTACGAAAATTTTCCAAAATTGGTTGTTGATTTGAAGAAAAAAAAGCATTTAAAGAAAAACGAAACGAGATGGTTTTCTTATTTCTGCTAAAGAAACCAGTTAATTTATTCACATTAAATTTTAGAATTATTTTTAATAATCGTCAATAGATGACGCTACTGAAAGCTAGGCAACAATGTTTTTAAAGTAACCACACTTTGCAGTAACAGCATGGCCCAGTCTCAGAAAAACAAAACAAACATTCATCTGTGCATACATTTTTCAATCAGGACTGTCTGACATGCAACAACAAATATTGTTTCAAACTTTTCTAAGTCAGCAGCCCCATCTATTAACAAACTCTTTAATTAATTTTAAAACTTGCTATCCGAGAACAGAATTAGTAATTAATTCTAATGGAAATGGTCAAGCAATCTGCTAAAAACAGTGTTTTTTTTAACAAAGGAAGGAGTTACATTTTGTGCTATGCAGATTAAAGTAAAGAACAGCGTAAATAAAGCACAAATGAAAGTACAAAAAATTGACAAGTTAGTTTGTCAATTTATTGTACTTTCATCTGTCCTTCGTTTTGTCTTTTTTTCATTTTACTTTAATTAAAGTTTTTTTTTCTGTTAGCAGTACCATCTGTTGTCGTAAATAATTTTGAAATTTCGAAATTTCTTTCAAAAGAAATTATTTTACAAGATCAATGAAACATTCGTTTCTATCTCCTTTCATTTTTATTTAATTGGGTTTCGGAATCATCGGCCATTATTGGGACACTTGTACAGTGCTGAAAAAAAGTACGAAGTCGCTACAGAAAGTGATAAAATGTAAAAAGAAAGTTCTGATGTGGTTTTATTTTATAATATTGCCATAGATTAAGACATAATAAAATCAAAAGCAAAATGAAAATAATAGCATTATTTTCATTTTGCTATATTATACACATGTATTACTTCATGTGTCATAATAAGATTTCAGCGCAAAGTATGTTGGAGAAAAGTATAAAGTTGGTACATTATTTATATCAGTAATCAATGCGAGATCCTTTATTTTCAGTCACATTTATCAATCTCGCATTCATGGATCAAGATCGAGTTCATAAAATGATATCAATATTGTTCAAAGACTTGATTGTATCAATTTAATCCGACTTGCTCTTGAACTATCGACCAGATTTGCTAATGTCTCTTACTAATATGCCCCAAAGGTTTGCTACCGAATTCAGGTCTGAGTTATGAGATGGCCACTCAAGGGATTTAACCTTAATTGCTTTCGTCTAGTATTTATTTGAATATGAAATATGGACTGCGGCATTTAGATGTTGGAAGATTCAGTCTCCATATAATAGCCAATATATCTTGATACATTATTAAATTCATTTTAGTTTATATAAATAAAATTGGAGTTGTACTGCTTGCTTCAAAAGTGACTCAAACCAAGACGGACCACCACCAAATCGACGTTTGGAAAATAACTGTGGTGCTGTTCGTAAGTCGTACCAAAAATATCTACAACCATCTGGTCCATGCAAATTAAACTTCCTTTCCTCCTAAAAAACCACATCACTCCAATTTGTTCCTTTCTTAAGATGTTTCTTTGCAAATGCTAAACGTGCATCTTTGTGTAATTTAGTAAGCAGAGGTTTAACTTTAATATTTTCAAATTGAGTGTTAGAATTATTACTTAAATAGTTTTTAAACGAGAGGAGATTTCTGCATGACAACTGTATTTCATTTTTAATTTGTGCAGATGACATCTTACCGTGACCAGTAAGATTCCAGATTCGTCTTTCTTGCCTTGATGACATTTTTTCCTTTCAATTCACAGCTTATGCCACAGCATTCAGGATTTCTGAGATAACTATTCACTGCAGCCTTATACCTTCCTATGCTTCTTGCAATTTGAGAACCATTCTAGACCATTTCCCTAAAAGCTAAAATTCTACATAGTTCGCCTTCCGTTAAATGAGTTGCCCTTATTGGCATTGAATTGCGCCTGTAAACTACCTAAATCTGCTTTTATACAACTCAAATTTTCTTTCTTGTTCTGGAACAAACGACTTTCTCGCATGTTTTATGCCTGACAATGGCGCAATTAGTATCGACTTTATGCTTTTTTTTTCAAGTTGCTTTTTAATGATTATATCAATTTTGCCATGATTTAAATTTTGTTGTTGTTGTTGACGTATGCCTGTTTAGGCAGAGAGAGTGTGGTTGTTCTTGTTTATCCAATGGCGCCATCTACGGCCAAAACTTCGACTTCTACCACACCGTACGTAACACCCGTTTATAGGGCGGACCCATTCATACATCCACAGATCATAATTTTGACCTGAATCAGAGAACGATCGATCTCCAATCCAGTACCCCCAGAGGTATTGATTTGTTTTGGGAACATGGAGGACTTTTGCAACTCGCCAGATTTAACGTGCATCAGTCACTTTACTACACAGGGAGTCTTCGGCCGGAGGTGTTCGAACCCACGAGCTCTCGGACATGGGACCAGTGCCCTACCGACCAGGCTATCCCGGCCCCATGATTTAAATAATATGCGGAATATAAAAAAAAGCAATTTGGCTTTACATTTGCAAGTTGCAAACGGAAAATAAATTTACATACTCAGTCATAACAGTGGTATTTCACATTTGACAACTTTTTCATCGGCTTCATATTTTTTTTCGAGCACTGCATTATCCTTGTTTTGTGATACTAGTATCATACTCGATAATATAATAACTTACATTTTTAGCAGTTCTTTGCACTCTTGCACGTGACAATGTTTGGGTTCTACGGCACATTTTACGAACGAGAAATTACGTTTGTTGTGACTCCTTTTTACATTTCCACGACAAGGGAGCAGCTTTACTTGCTCGTTAACTATTTCTCCTTCATGGGAAGCATAGTGATGGTTATTTCTGGAATCTTTAGTTCAACCAGCAATACGGCTCTCTTATCCAGTCTTTATGTGAGTAATGTCTTTCGTTTAAATATACTACTGAATTTTACAAATGTTCATTTATTAATGTTATATTTTGTTTCTTTTTTTTAGCCATTTATATTTGATTTGGTGCAATTTATTATGATGGCTGCAGCATCCGTGAGCAACGTTGTGCAGTATAAAGATGTGGAAGTACAGAAGAAAATGGTTATTGGATTAAAAGCAAAAGAAGCAGCCTCGGTAATGAAGCATTATAATTATTTATTATGTTGAATGAAATGTTCTGGAATCGACCTATACGCAAGGTGCTTTATAAAGATCCCCCTTTACATATATTTTTAGAATCTATGTCAAAAATGAAGTAAAATTATATACACGGGCTAAAATTTCTACACTGTTAAAAATATCTCGGTAAAAATGGTGAAGTAGAAATTTATTTAATTGTTATTTTACCATATTCAACCAAAACAGTCAAATAACCATAAAAAAAGGTGATATTCAAAGTGTTAAGTGTGAGAAAAAACGTTTATTGATTGTTTTTTTACCTAATACGGTTTAACAATCAGGATTCTATCCCCACTAACAAGGCCTACCAGATGAAGACCTTTTGCTCTATAGAGCAAGGTACATATAGTATATATAGCTGGGAATGCTAATCGGTCAATCTCATGTCCGGCTAAACAGGGCATCCTAAATAGAAGTTCGAATCCATGAACTGATAACACACTATTTCTTCTTTCAATACATGAAGAGTTTGCAGTGTTTGAAATTCATGAAGAGTTTCTAGTTCACACTGCAATCGGTAACCCTAGGCTAATATAATTCATGTATAAATGGCGTAGCACCCTTAAAAATCTATCGCAAGCTTCATTTTTATGGCCCAGAGACTATGCTAGTTATAAACGGTTTTAAAACCGTAAAGGTAAAGAGACGTTCCTAACCATAAACTTTACGGTTATTCGGATGACAGACTGTTGCCCGTTATTGCGTCGTTGCTTCAGAGGGAAAATTTTAACAGAGTATTATTAAATGCATCAAAAATTAAATTATTAATTTTCTGTACTTGGTGGCTTTTAAACAGCTTTAAACGGCGAATAATAAAGCATTCCCAGAACATTCCTTTGGGGACCAAGGGTGTCATGGAGGTTAAACCTCTATAATTTCGTAACCTGCAGCATGATTTTGGCAATATGGTCATTGCCCACAGATCGACTTTACTTTCCAGACAAGCTGGTACTCATCAATCTGTAGCTGAATGGGCTTCAATCCGTCATTGGGGATCGAACTCCAGTTCTTTACAATGACATTTCAGTGCTTTAACTACTGAGTCATCGCTGCTATAAACGGTGAATACGTGCATGATTTTTACACATACTTTGGTGTACTGTGAGGTCACTGTGATCTCTCAAAAATTTTCCTTATTCGGCAAATTTTGTCGAATATTAGGCAATTTCAGACAATGTCTAACCTACCGAATGTGTTGCAACTTGAAGTAGAATGTGTTTTGTGATTAAATCGAAAATATCAGAAATCTACATAAAATTACTCGTAGTAAAAATACGCTCTTTATCAAAATCTGCTTCTTTCACTATTGCCGAAGATTAGCACCAATAAAAAATTTTAAATTGTAAAACAAATATTTTAAAAGAAAATGTCTAATAAGGGAACGTAAAAAACACCACTTTAACGATGATTTTATGTAAAACAAATATAGTACGATTTGGTAAGAATGAAATTTTGAACTATTTTTCCCCTCCTTTAAATGTAAGTTCGAATTTCCTCTGTCCATTTAATAAGATTTGAACATATATGGCAACGTTACTTTTAAAAAGTAACGAGTAAAAGTACAAGTATTTTTAAAAAAAGTAACGAGTAAAAAGTAAACAGTTCTTATTTTAAAAAGTAACGAGTAAAAACTACAAGTACTAAACAAAAAAAGTAACGATTTAAAAGTACATTTCTAGGAAAGCGAAATTTCAAAGTAACCTAAAATTTCATTGAATAATATTCTTATGTTCTTTAATGTTTTTGCAAAATTGTTGTTATTTATTTAATTATTTTTAATTTTGAAAGTTATGGACATTAATTTATTTTTAAATTCGGAAGAATAT